TCTAGCAAATCCCTCATTGGTTCCTTGTGATTATCTTCATGTGGACTTCTTGGGTTCGATCCTACACTTGGATCGGTAGCAAACACGTTCAGAGACAATATTAGTGAAGCCTCCAACGTGGGTATGAATCTAAACTTTAGATTTATTTTCTGTAGATTCTTGTAATATATATAAACTGTAATTTATGTGCCCTGATTTTGGGTTCTAAGGAACGATCCATTATTGTAAAATTTTTGTTTTTCCGCTGCGCAACTGGGTCGTTTCCTAACTGTTGAGGCCACTGACAATCCACTGGACCTGCACACACGAAGAAACAAACGTAAAGCTTACGAAAAACACCAAGGTGGTGTTTGCTGTAGGCACTCCGACACTCAAGTCAACAAGGCTGAAAGAGATGATTTAATGAGAATTAGGGAAAGAAAGATTACTAAGAGTCTTGTCGAAGGCCAAGACCACGGCGAAGATGGAGAATTCTCAGGAGCAAGAATTTAGGACTAAGTAGGTGGTTTTGAGTAGTCGAGATTGAATATTCGAACCATAATCCCTTATGAGAGGGTAGGTGTCTGTTTATATAATAGTCATAGGATCTTTGAATCATAGTAGGACGTTGAGTCCATCATGATAGAAGTTTAGTGAATAGGAAAGTCTTTGATTTACTTGCCTTTGGAATAGTAAGAGTCCTAATTCATATAAGATTCAAGATCTTAGATGAATTAGGATATAGATGGATCTCCTAGGAGAATTAGGATAGTGTTGAAATAGGAAGTAAATGTCCTTCGGGTTTGAATATAACACTAGATGCTTAATAGATAATATGGGCTAATAAAAGACCCTTTTCTTAGCATCTTTCTGGCCTTTACACAGCTAATTAACATTCTAAGCCGATGGCCCTCGCCAAAACTAAACTTATCACCATCATTAAGATTAAATCTTGCTTTCTTCTTTCGGAAATCAATCTCTACTTCATATCTCCCCAGGAAATCCATGCCCAAAATAACATCAAAATCGGGCATATCAAACACAATCAAATCCACTGGCAACACCCTTCCATGGATCACTACGGACTCCCTTGGAAGCATCTCCTGAGTTACCACACTAACACCATCTGGCAATTCTATCTTAATGGGTTGTCCCACTATAACAGGTTTCAAACCTAATCTCTCTAAGATCCCATGTGTAATAATGAGTGTGTGGCTCCAAAATCAATTAATGCATAAAGGGGGACTAAATGAAATAATAACTAACCGATAATTGTAGATGGGCTAGCCTCAGCTTCACTCTGTGCTACTGTAAACACTCAAGCATTGGTTCCTCTGAATGTCTGTGCTGCAGATGCATGAGGGGCTTTGCAGTCTTTCATCATGTGCCCTGGCTGTCGACATCTATAACATACATTCTGGCCTAACTCTTTGAGACACTCCCCCGGATGAGTTCTTCCACACTTTTGACATTAGGGAAAATCAGTAGTCCTTGGCCGTTTATTCTGCCAATCCCTTCTATTTTTCTTGGGCTGAAATCTTTTCTTATTTCTTATTTCTCACTTCTCTATTTTTGGGGACATCAATTCTATCTCGAGCGAGAGGTGGAACACTAGGTGCTGCTGCTGATGGAATTATTGGGGTAAGCTTATTCACAAATATTTCAGCTTTTAAGGCTCATTCCAAAGCCTCACTATAGGTCTGAGAGGGCTGGGCACCTGCAATTACATCTCAAGCTATTTTAGGTTTTAGTCCATGCACAAACTTATCCCTCCTCAATTCTGGTATGCTACCTCATGCACATCTTCCATCAACTTCCACCATATTTGGGCATCACCCTGAAACAAAAAACTAGCATACTGGATCTTCTCCCGATCTGTCATGGGGAACAGTGCTGTCATACGCTCCATAGACCTTACTAAATAGGCTTAAGACGGCTCTGTACTCTCGGGGGTATCGTCCTCTCTCTCTCTTCTCTAGTGGTTGGTACAACAATTGGTGTCTCAACTCTCTCTGGTATAGGTCTTCCCTAACTCTCTACCAATACATGTTGTATGAGACTACAAATCCTCACTTCATCAAGGATAGGAGGAGTGGATCCTGACGGGTTGGATGGTTCACCAGCATTCACTGCATTCTTTTTACTTGATCAGGTCATACGTCTCATCTAGATCACATAGCACCAACACTATTAGTTAACTAATTTAACTCATCTACTATACATAAGGAAAGAAAGAAACAACTTACAACGGTTGGCTAGGTACGTCAATGCGGCAAAAGGGGCACACTATCAAATCCCAAAACCATGCTCTGATACCAAAAATGTAATACTTTGTCTAGCTAGTGGTTCTTTGGAAAAATATAAGTAAAACTCACTAACATGTTATATAAAATATATATATGTATATAAGAATGTAATAGAAGGCCCAAAATAAATTTAACTTTATATACAAATCTCTACATCAAGTAATAAAGTCACAAAAAGAAATACAAAGAAGTCTCAGACAGTAGTGCCATTCTCCTCTGCTAGTTGACGTTCGTCCCGACCACATCTCATCTATTGCTTGCAAAAACAGTGAAATCAACGAAGTGAGCACTAATTGCTCAGTAAGTAAACCTACAATACTTCTATTCCTTTTTCCGTTACTTAGATCCTGGATTTTCTTTTCTTACATCAAACTTCTTAATTCTTCTCTGCTCTTTCTAAGATTATAGTTTCTCACTTACCGATATGTAAGCACAAATAGGGAAATGAACTAGGGGTAGTAGAAATGGCATGATGCATATGCACAAATGCATAAACTTTTTCTATGCAATGCATTTTCTTTTCTGTTTTTCTGTTTTCTTATTCTGTTTCTCTTATTTTCTATTCTTTCTTGCTTTTCTAGGCTTTCTTTCTTTTCTTTTCCATTCTTTCTTTCCCGATCAGACTCGGTTGAGGCATGGATTCGGAACCTTGGCTGTGTGAGTGTATTCTCAAATTCTTTCTTGGGTACAGTCCTTATCCACGGCACTTCTTACGGACTGTACAAATTCTTCTTTCTTATTCTTAGGCCGCTCACTAAAGGCAGCGTGCATGTGGGGATATTCTTCTTCTCTGTCACTCACGGGTTCCCCATCAGAACAACCTTCTCTTCTCTTATCTTTTTATATTTCTTTAAATAAAATTTCAAATTTGAGGTATTCTTTAATTATGTTCTTTAAATAATGATTCTACAATTAATTTCTTTTCTTTCTTTCTCTTTATTCCTTAATGTTCTCATACATGTATATGTGCATGTAAATATGTTCATTCTTTGCTATTCTTTCTAAATGCAAATACTCGAATGTAAGAATGCATTATGACATATAAAGATATCATTATGGAACGAGTATTCTCTACCAACAACATTTCCATAACAAAGTAATAATCTAACATACTCATATATATGCACTTTCTTTGAAATTTCATCAAACACCTTACATGCACATACAAACCCTAAATTGGTTACACTTCCACATATTTCTCAAGCCACCAAAATTGGAGCAAAAAACTCCCTAAGGCCAACAACCACCCTAGCCGAATTTCACCTTTCTCCCTTCCACATCCATTCTTTCATATTTCATCAACTCAGCACGTAGAAATACATCATTTCTCATGGCCATAAGATTCACAAATCAAACAACCTCAATTTCAATTCATAATTCTCATCATCAAAACACACATACAACATATAAGAAATTTCTCTACACAAGTATTTATTCAATCAAAGCCAAAGTTGGATTTACTTACCTTAAATTTGAGCAATTCCAACACTATAATCTCTCTTTGGTAGAATTCCCCTTCTTCTTAACCCTAAGCATATAAAACCATAAGAATTTAAAACTTTAAAATTTAATCTCACATCTTGGTGCAAGAATCTTACCTTGAATGCTTAGAATTGAAAATCTATCAAAATCTAGCTAAAATCCTATGAATTTCCTTGAAAATTTAGTGAAGAAATTTGAGAGAATTTGGGGTGAAGGTGGCGTGAACAATGGATGGAGTGGCTAGGGTTTCAACTCTTGAACTCTTATTACTACATAATAATATATATAGTTTCCCATTTTACCATTGCACTTTCAAAAAATTACATATATGTCCCTTAGTCAATTAAAAAAATGCCATCATTTATATTAACTTCTCAATGTTATTCTACTTCTTTTCATTCACCACTATTTCATCTAATTATAAGTGGAATGACCATTTTACCCATAATAACATTTTAAAGAATTTCTTTAACACTTGTCCAAGATAACTCTAACAAGATTCAACTAAGGGTATTAAGGCATAAATAAAGTTACATACCCTAATGTGGACGTTACACATTGACAATCCACTGGACTTGCACACATAAAGAGACAAGCATGAAGTTTACGGAAAACATTGGGGTGGTGTTTGCTGTAGGCAATTAGACGCTTAAGTCATCAAGGCTGAAAGAGACGATTGAATGAAAATTAGGGAAAGAAAGATTTCCAGGAGTCTTGTTGGGAGATAAGACCATGACAAAGATGTAGAATTATCGGGAGCAAGAATTTTGAAGTAAGGAGGTGATTTCGAGTAGTCGAGATTGAATATTCGATCCTAGATCCCTTATGAAAAGGCATACCTCTGTTTATATAGTAGTCATAAGACCTTTGAATCCTAGTACGATTCTGAGTCCATAATGATAGAAGTTTAGTGAATAGGAAAGTTTTTGATTTACTTGCCTTTGGAATAATAAGAGTCCTAGTTCATATAATATTCAAGATCTTAGATGAATTAGGATATAGATGAATCTTTTAGAAGAATTAGGATAGTGGTGAAATAGGAAGTAGATGTCTTTCAAGTTTGAATAAAAAACTAGGCCCTTAATAGAAACTATGGGCTAATGGGCCTATCCAGGGGTGGGTCATGATCTTAAACTGTGTTGTAGATGTTATGCGTTTGGGCCTGATAAGACCCAAGAAGTTTTTTTGCCCAGACAATAATTTATAAGAAAATAAAAACCAATTAATGGAGTATAATAAAATTTCTATATCATCACCATGATATTGTAATACAAAGAGAACATACTTGACCCCATTAAGCCCGCAAGCTCTCTCTCTCTCTCTCTCTCTCTCTCTCTCTCTCTCTCTCTCTACTTAACAAGGGCTCTCACTACTTTCACTTCCTAAAAAGAAGTGCATTTCATAAATTATTATTGCTACATTCTCTTTTCCCCTCTCCCTAATCTAAGAAAAAAAAAATTAAAAAAATATATACTTTGCACATAAAAAGACTATAACAAAATCACCCTAATTTAAGACACCAATAAAACCCCAAAAAAAATATTAGTTAATTAGCTTCAATTTAGGACAATCTTTTTTCCTTTTCAAGAGTCTTCAATGAAGAAGATGAAGATTGAAACTCAGGAGAGTGGCGAGGAAATTCTGATAACATTTGAACAACTTCTCTCATGGTTGGTCTCTCAATGCTATTTTCTTGAATGCAAAGCATTGCTATGAACAGAACGTGCATTGCTTCTTCTCTAGGCACCATTGTTAGCCTTGGATCAAGAATGCATAAAACTTCTTCTTTCCGGTTATTCGTTGCTCGTTTGCTCCATTGAACGATGTCCACACCATCACCGAAATCGCCCACCGGACGACGACCAATGAGAAGTTCTAATAGAACGACACCAAAACTGTAGACATCACTCTTCTCGTCCACTCTTAATGTGTATGCATACTCTACAATCATAACATTTGGAACCACATTCAATGCCAATAATATAATATTTTTGAATCACAATTCAGGTATCAAGATTGCTTGAACTATATATTAAAATAAAACATATGAATTGATCGGTCGCATGTAAAACAGACATACGAAAAACTTTCCTGCTTCAAACTAGTTAAAGACAAAAAGGGAGGTAAATTAGCTTTGAATCAAAAGAAAAAGAAAACCCTTTACAGGTAAGACCAAAACAGGTTGTTAGATAGAAAGAGAAAATAAATTGATTTAGAAAACACAATGTATTGGTGTGCAAGATGTCGGTCACCTTTCACGAAAATCAAAGCCCTGTCACATTAGACACCATTGTCAGACTGTCACTCTCTTGAATCTGCCACAATGACCCTTCAGATCTTCTGATTGTGGACCCCTAACTACCAGATTTGACACTCACTCATTGATCTACTAAAACTCTTGCGGGGTGTGATTACCAATAAAATTCTAATTTTGGTTTTAGTATAAATCACGGATGATTTGAAGCTGTCACTTCAGCAGGTACAATCTTCTACTATTTAAGTAAAGGGTTTAAGCCGAGTAGAACCGTAGGATTCAGGAAAGTGATGTACTAGGAATCTATATCAATAGTGAGAAATATTTTGTTATGTATTTTAAGTGAATATAATAAAATATATAAGGAAAACATTTTTGGTATTTAAAAATGGTTTAATCAATTCTGTTAAAGACAATGATAATTACATGTTTAGTGAGAAATACAAGTAAACGAAGTACTGACGAAAACACATTAAAAATTCAAAAAGCAACTTAAAATGAGAAAGAAAATAAATTAAATTTTAGTTTTTTTTTAATTATTTCTAATCATTTTAATTTAAATATTAAAAAAATAATAAAAAATAACATTTAAATCTGTAAAAAAATTTGGTTAATATGAAAAATATTCCTTTTAGTTTCACTAATAATTTTTTACCATTAGATCTATGTTGTTAGTGAATGACGGCTATGATCATGTCATATGCTAAATGAGAGTCTCAATTCTATTAGGCCATCCGTCTGATCTCCCAAGCACAATCATGCGGCAGAGAATAACAAGATGGCCCACAATTTTTTGACAGTTTGATATAACTAAGCAACGTCCACAGTACAATTTACAGAAAAATAGAAATTATTAAACCTTACAATAAAAATGGAAAATTTCCTTCAAAACATCAATTAATTTCTGAAAATTTCTAAAATATTTTAAAAAAGATATTAGTTATCATTAAATTTAACGGAAAATAATTAAAAAACATAAGTACCATTAAACCAATAATTAAAACTATGGAGTATGATAATATGTATGTACCTGGTGCAATGTAGCCATAAGACCCTGCAATTGCTGACATACATTCCGATGCTCCGCCGTCAATGAGGAACTTGGCCAGGCCGAAGTCGGCCACGTGAGCTTCGAAGGCTGAATTGAGGAGAATATTGTTTGATTTGACATCTCTATGAACAATCAATGGTGAACAATCATGGTGAAGGTAGCATAGGCCTTTGGCAGCTTCAATGGCGATATTGTACCTCAAATTCCAGCTCAAAAATGCACCCTTTTTGCCGTGTAACGCCTCTCCAAGGCTTCCATTTCTCATGTACTCATAAACCAGGAGATTTGTGTCCTTGTTGGAGCAAAATGCTAGCAATCTGACAATGTTTCTGTGCCTGATGTTGCCTAGTGTTTGAATTTCAGCTCTGAACCCATGGTCATGGCTGTGACTTCCGAAACCGAGTAGTTTTTTCACCGCAATTTCGACCCCATTTGGCATTTTTCCATGGTACACAATCCCAGCTCCTCCTCTGCCTATTACATTGCCATCTTTGACACATTCCAGGATGTCACTGACTGAGAATTCCACCTTCTGGAATGCCGTCATTTTCCAGGAATCTGAGCCCTTTTTCTTGAAGGACTTGGCCTTGATTATGGCGGCTGTTGCAAATATCAGGGAACATATAAGCAGGCCTAATGCAAAAATTAGCTTGAAATCTCCGGGGGCTTTTCCGGGTGCGCGAGTGATTGTGGTGAAGTTGCAGGGATTGTTAAGGAGGGTGCCACAGAGTTGGGGATTGCCCGCAAAAGACGAGGCATTGAAGACAGTGAATTGGCCTGATTCCGGGAGCTTGCCGGAGAAATCATTGAAGGAGAAATCAGCAATTGTGAGGCTCTTCATGGAACCTATTGACTTGGGGATGTTTTGGCTCAAGTGGTTTCTTGATAAATTCAAGTAATTGAGGATGTGAACATTGGAAATCTCAGGAGTTATTGAGCCGGAGAGGTTGTTCTGGCTCATGTCAAGGTAAGTAAGAAGGTAACAGTTTCCCATTTCTGGAGGAATTGGACCGGAAAGCGAATTTCGACTAAGATCAAGCTTTAAAACTTGCCTGAGGTCACCTATAGAAGGAGGGATTAGACCTGAGAAATTGTTTCCACCGAGAAGAAGAATTTGGAGAGAAGAGAAATTTGAAAGTGACAATGGCAAAGGTCCTGATAAAAGATTATTTGACAAATTGAGTTGGCCTAATTTAACAGGCTGTGAAGAGGTATTACCATTTTCAGGCAATGATCCTGACAGGTAATTGTTCTGCAACTCAGCTAAATTCAACTCAGGCAAGTAAATGAAGCCATTTGGAATGCTTCCATTCAAGTAATTCTGCCCCAACCTCACTCTGGTGAGGCTATAGCATGTTCCCAGGCCTTCAGGAATTGGCCCAAAAAGGAAATTGTTCAAGAGAATCAGTATCTTCAGCTTATTAGATGAACACAAATCTTCAGGAATTGTACCAGTGAGCTTATTGGAAGACAAATCAAGGATTTGAAGCTTCTTATTTCTGCCAAGATTCTGAGGAATCTCACCAGTGAAGTTATTCTTCCACAGGCCCAAGGTCTCTAAATAAGGCAAGTCAGCTACATAGTCAGGAATTGAACCATGCAACTTGTTCATGAAGAGGTTGAAAAGCTTGAGCCGCTTGAGATTGATGAATGAAGAAGGGATTTCTCCGGTGAGTACATTGTTGGAGAGATCAAGATTCACTAAGTTTGTCAAGTTACCAAGCTGTTTCGGAATCGAACCTGAAAGAAGATTGATATGCAAGTAAAGAGTGTCAAGCAGCTTTAAGTTCCCAATCTCACGAGGAATTGGACCATCTAAACCACAGCTTGAGAGATCCATGTGAACCAAATTCACCAGTTTCCCAAACTCCTTTGGTATCCCACCTTCAAAAACATTGTAATAACCCAAATAGATCTCTCTCAAGTTTGTCAGATTCCCCAACTCACCAGGAATTTTCCCCTGAAGATCATTCCCGGCAAGTGAAAGATACTCCAACCCCACTAATTTTCCATAACTTTCTGGGATTTTTCCATTGAAATAGTTGCCTCCAAGATCCAAGTACTTTAGTTTCTCCAAGGTGAGAACACCAAGAGGAAGTAAAGCAGTGAAGTTGTTATTATAAGCATCAAAGACTTGCAAGTTTGAAAGACTTGAGTAGTTCCAATCCAGGCCACCACTAAACTGATTGTTTGAGATGTTAAGAGATTGAAGACTACTCAAGTTAGCAATATCAATGCCGCCCGTGAAGTTGTTTCCTGCAAGAGAGAGATTGGTGAGCATATCAAGCCTTGAAACTTGTGCTGAAACTGAACCACCAAGGTCCAAATCCGTCAAGTCCAATGAAAATACTCTTTCTTGGGAGCAAAAAACACCAGCCCAGGAACAAAGTGAGCTTGGATTTGAAGAATTCCAGGAGGTTAAAGCCGGTTCAGGGGATAGAAATCCTTGCTTGAGAGCAACCAGGACATGAAGATCATCGACCAAAGAAGAGGCAGAGACGAAGATAGAAGAAGAAATTGTGGTGGTGAAGAGAGAGAAGAGTGACAAAACAACGAAAAAGACCATGTTTTGATGGGAAATATTTTCAAAGAAACTGAGCTTGGAAGGACTTGAGGGAAAGACAAAGGGATTTAAGCAGTTGGGTGAGTAAAGATTTTCTGGGAAAAGAAGGAAAAGTGAAGAGAATCTGAGAAACTTCAAGTATGTATAGGCTTAAGGAATCAAACATCTTCACAGAAAGATTCTTCATACACAAGGAAGAAACTGAGCCTCTCCTTTATACTCCTTTGCTTTTCTTTTTCTGTTTTCTTTCTCTCAGAGAAGAAGAGAATAAGATTGAAATAATTTGAATTAATTTCTGATAGAAATGGCAATAGCTTTTGTGCTGTGTTGTGTGTATAATCTCTTTATGAATCTCTCTTATGCTTCTTTAAGCAAAGAGAGATAAAGCAAGGGCAAAATATCACAAACTACCTTTAAATAAATTGCAGAAACCAGGGGGATAGTATAAGGGGGGTATTTTAAAGATTATAAAGTATAGGGGTTGGCATGGTATTTACACAGAGATAAATGAAAATAGGAGAAACAGCCGTTGTATAACAGAAATTTAAAGTGAAGATTAGAAGAAAGAAAAGCAAAGTTGATGCTTTTCTTTAATTTTTTCTTTATTTTGTATCCTTATTCAATGACAAAAATGCCCTTTAGCTTTAATCGAAGGAGTCTCTTTTATTGCTTTGAATGAGAGAGATGATGGAATTGCACTTTAAATCATTTACAATGGCTGAATTGTCCTGTTGCTTTTGATCAATGGCAACCATATATTTCTGATTTTGCAATCTCAATTTTTTGTTTTATAAATATAAATGTGGGAAAGGTAATTGGCGTATGCCACTAATGTATTGTCATTGAGTTTTAATTGTCCCAAATTTAAGGCTACCAAATTGCCAAATAGTTTGAGTGGTGATTTTTCTTTTTCGAAAACATCGAATACGATAAATTCTACGAAATCATATCCCGTTGAAATGTTTTGAAAACCAATTTTTAAACACATTCTTAAAAGCTGGTGTAAAATTAGAAAGTAGAACAAATATTTGTTGTCTCAATATTTCATGATTTTTAACTCTTAAAATAGTTTTAAATATTATATCGAACATATTTTCATATGTAAGATATATAATTAAGGCAAAAGTTCTCAGGCTCTGCAAAATCTCTACAGCTAAAAGAAATAGCTTTAATGTACAGGATCAATTCAATCTGGGGTATTTTTCAACAATTACAAGATCATAAGTATCAAAATCGTGAGTATAATCAAAAGCTAGCTCAAGCAATAGGGTTTTGGCAGCACCTTAATTATTTTGCTTATATATATATATGTGAAAAGATCAATCACAAATCATGGCCAAATAGATGATCTCAAATTCCATTAACAATATAGTATGAGTAGATAACAATTATTTAATTTTCCAGTTGCCATCACATTGTAATAAAAGATATGTTTAAGTGGGATAAAAAGCATCTTAGGATCTTGATTATCTATATATCTATCTAGGACCCATTAAAAAGTATATAATTACAATATCCAATTTTTAATTTATCATTGTCATCCTATTGTCACAATTCATTAACCTACATAATTAGTTTAATTAATTAAACTTATAAATTGTGTATTTTTATTGAGAATGTTCTTCATATAATATATATGACTAGTTTTGTGTTACCAAGACTGTGATTTTTATTTTAAGTTTGAGTTGGGAATATGTGCCTGCAACAACTGGAAGAGTGTAAGAAGAAGTAAAAGATGATGATAATTAATATATCATTACAATGTTTGTAAAAATGACATTGAATAATGATCAATATATAATTATATGTTGTAAGAATAGGCTGCATGGAAGAAGGAATTCACCAGTGAAGCCCTTTTGCCATGATCAACTTTATTCCTTGTCCTTCCTTGGGCTACAGGATTGGGACCAAGAGGCTGAGGCTCTGTTTAACTGTGCATTGAGAGAGCTTTATTAGAAGATGGAATAGTCTTAAGAGGGGCTGAAAAGTAAAAGGCAAGTGAGAGAGAGAGAGAGAGAGAGAGAGGAAATATATTTTTGTTGCTTTGATCTTCACTTCAAAAAAGAGAGAGAGAAAAAGAAAAGAAAAATCCATGAGTCTTCCGTGTTGTTATTCACATGGAAAAGAGTGCTCTTGTATTAACTGGAACTCAAATATATCACAATCTCTTTCTTCCTTTCTTTCTCCGTCTAAAGAAAAATCCATGGCCCCTCATACATGGGAAAGAGTGCTCTTATATAACCTCAGCTAACTTGCTCTCTATCTCATGTGGGTTTTGTCATAAAATGGTTGTTGCCTCCACTTGTGCTTCATCTCATAATGTCTAATGGAATCTACGGGGAAAATTTTTATAGAAATTATTCTAACACATTATTTGAATATTGGTCTTTATGTGAATCAAATAGGGAGTAATACGATAACAAAATAAACAATAAACAAACAAACACAAACAGTAAAGATGAAAATAATACAAAATTTACCTTGATTCATTCAATATAAATACGTTCCAGTAAAATCATATTTGTAGATATATATAGCTTAATAAAATAAAGGATATGATAAGGGTTGAATAGATGAAGGAGAAAATTAATTATACATTTAAATATAACATGATTTCATAGGATTGACATATAAAAATGATAAGTTGACAATTTCAAGAACTTTTCATATTTATTTTTCTTTTATGTTGATATCATCATTATCGATAATATTTTGGAAGAATTAACATATATATAGTTATCAGTCTTTTCATGTGAACATCCATTTTTTTTTTTTTTTTTTTTTTAAATCCAAACTTAAACAAACAGAGTAAACTCTTGCCGCAGGATCGATTTGCCTCTTAACAATTAAAACAAATCTTCAGGTGAGTGTTCAATACTTTAATTTAAATCTACATCTAAAACTGTTGGTATATATATACACGTTTCACTAATATATACTGGGAACTAGATAGGGCAAGGGGATGGTGTTTTGAGGTGTCTCTATCTCCTTATTGAAGGCAGGTGTGGCCCTTTTGAAAGGTCACCATCTTGTGGCTCTCTTTGGGTTGGAAACAATAAAATGGTCACTATGGTTACCAAAACAATAACTTACGTGGAGAGTCTTATGTTTGTAGGTAAATAACAAGAGGGAACATCTAAACTTCACTTTTGTCCAAATCTTCATACCCAAATATTAAAAGCCCGAACACCACACAACTTTAGAATATTTGCTTTTTTTTTTTTTTTCTTTGTAATATATTTTCAAGTAACAAGATATTAAATTCAAAAGAGAGTGAAGTGATTGGTGAACGGTAATCCGAAGATTATTTTGAAATTAATAAATTAATGAAAGAAAAAGATAGTTTATTAAGGATTGATTTTATCCATTTTTAAGAAATAAAAAAGTTTCAGTGGTTTGACAATGACTCTTGAGTGTATTACTCAAGAAGTCTTGAGTTCGAGTTACAGTTGGTGTAACTTCAAGGTCCCGAGAAATTAGTTGATGAGATACGCATAAACTGGTTGAATACTCCTAATCACCAATAATAATAATAATAATTATCATATATAAATTGATCATTAGTGATGCATTCAATAGATTATTGATAATTTCAATAGAAAATAAATAAAATTGAGTGACAAATATCATGGGATGCCTTGAAAAATCTTATTCATTTAACAATTCTAATTTATGATTCTACATGACATCAATAATAGCAAAATGATACCGAAAAGCAGACACCACATTCACAATTATTCAATCTCTTAGATAAGGAGGATGAAAAAGTATCTCTCGAATAGATAAATATCTACAGACAATAATTTTTGCTTAAAAAAATTCACCATAAAATGAAGATATTTACAAAAAAGAAGAAGAAGAGAACCAGGTTCTCTATCTCTCTTGTATAAATTAAAAGCTGCTTTGGATGGGACTCTGTGATATTCCTCTTGGTCATTTGAATTACATATTGATGGACTAAGCTGAAAAGAAAAAAATAAGCATCTTAACTTCAAGTTCATCAAAATCGTTCTTCTCTTTTCAAACTTATCTTGATTTTGATTATCAAGAATGTCAACTGGTTTCTTGTTTAATTTTCCTCTTTTTGCTTTATACTTTGTAAAGGCTACTCATATCCATGAAATTATTAGATGCAGAAAGAGAATTCATAACTGTAAATCTTTTTATTATTATTTTTTGACTATGGGTGTCCAGGTCAACTAACGGCACCTCAATAATCTTTCTGGACTCAGTAATACTGATCGGATAAGGTTTAATGGTTATCCGTATTAGTACTCGAATAGAGATTCAAACTCAGGACCAATTGGTAAAGTCTATCAAACATGTCTTATGATTAACTATTAGATTATATAAAATTGAAATAATGGGAACGTATGTAATAATAACTTTACCCAATTGGAAACGTACTATCTACCAAAATCAATCTAGGTATCGAGAGAGCAACGGTACACCATCCCCAGATGAAAATTATACATTTTGATGAATTCAGACTTAGTAAACTTGCATTAGGTTAAATGACATATTGTTGGTAATTGTATGAATAGGAGGGAGGGGAGCTACTGTCATGGTCTATGAGACATACAGAAAAAAGACAGATTTTGCGTACATTTCAGCAAGTATAAATCGGATTTTGCACAAATACATATACTATATAGTCAGGACACTGCGATAGCCAGTCTCTTTTGGGGCACCAGCAGCTGCAGCTAAATTCCAAGGCCAAAATTTCAAATGCAAAACAATTTATTATAACTCACCAAAAATCTCACATGAAAAATGAGGCGAGGTAATAAATATAGTACAATGCTGGCCCTAGAAAATGCCCCAAAATCAACAACCCCACAACCGCCCACCGCCCCCGCCCCCGGTGGTTTCTTCTCTTATAATAGGGAATATTCACCATGTTGGAGGCAATGCTCCCTTACAGCTGCTGTCTAAAAGCAATAATGATGAAATAAAAAAATTTTAAGATATGAATTTTATTTTTTATTTGTTAAAAATAAAATTTTAATTCAACTTTTCTATATTGAAAATTGCAAAAAAAATTCTTAATATTACTGATGTCATCAAATAAGAATTTGGATAAGAAAGAATGGTGCCATTGAAAATTTATATACAGTAGAACCTCTTTATAGTCATAATATTGAGACTAACTAAATTTATTAATATGAGGAGATTATAATTTAAAGAGATGTAGTTACAAGAATTTTTAATTAAAAGAATTTTAACTTAAAATGATGACTTCATTTTCAGCCTTGATTAATGAGCAATTACAGTAGTTTATTTTACGTGTTATTTCATTTTCTTTTCAACCATTGGATTGTGATTTACAATGGAAACTGTAAGTCAATGTCTCAAATAAGTCAAAAA